TCAAAGTGTGGGCATGACACCTCTGACTCCCTTATAATCTTCTTGTCTCCATCCTGAAAGGAGAGACCTGCACCACTCTTAGACCACAGGAGTGGCTAGTAAACTCACTGGCTGAAAAGAGACTAAAATGTGGATAGAGGAATACTCCTTCATTAAAATTGCCTTAAAATCTTGGATAAAATGCGGCAGATCTACTTTTAGATGTATAGCTGAGCTTTGAAGATTGTGAGGAAAACCTCCAAGGACTAACAATGAAGAGAAAACTGAAAACAAAAGCACACAGCCTGATGCCCTGGCAGCATGGAAAGAGAAGGGTGTTATCTCAGTAACTAAAGGATTTAGAAAAGAAAAGAAGGTCGTAAGCCTGATTAAATTGGGTGTTTGGCAATAAGGTCTCATTGCCTTTCTTTCAATTCACATTATATAATATGGAGTGATCTTTTAAAAATATAAACATGATTATATCACCCTCCTACTTATGTCACTCTCCAAAGTCTTCCTATTTTAGCTGATACACAATTCAATCTTGTTTACCCTGCAAGCCCTAGACTATACATTCTCAACCAGGTTGATATTGCCCCCAAGGGGGAGAAAATTGATCCTTGGTGTGGAGGTGAAAAAAATCTTCCCTATTATAATGGTTTGTGGCCCTCCAAAGTTCAACTGTATGTGATAAAATCTTATTTTTTAGAATTTAATTACTCTCTTTGGGTTTCCTTGGGTAGCACAGAAGCATCATTGACATTGAGTTCATGGAAGATAATAAAATGTATGCAAAATCAGTGTTACAAAACCATAGTGGACAAGTGGCTTAATTGGAGGACTTTCAATCCATTGCTCATTCCTGAAGTTATACCATCATGAGAAGGAATTTATGTGTACCTATTGGCTGCCATTGTCCACCTTCATATTTTGTCCTCCATGTCCTTGTGTGTGACTTTAACTTGGAGAATTAAATAAAACTAATATATATTTAATTCTATAAAAGTCATTCAACTTATCATTTTTGTCAAGTGATAAAAAGCAAAAATGTTAGTGATATATGAATGAATATCTAGCAGCTAGTTAAAAGCTACTTTCTCATATCAAGCAAAAGTTAAAAATCAAGTTCACTACAAATAATTTAAATTATTTTTTTACTATTGTTTTATTTTTTCTGGAAAAATAGGTTTTGAATTATTTTTAAAAATGTGATTGTACTAATAAGTATAGAAATTGATAATTTGCATCTGCAAATTTCTACATTACAAATTTATATAAGTAAATAAATTCCATTAAAAGTCACTCAACAAATGCAGTTAAGTTGGCTGTTAATAGTTTAGTTTCCTAATTTTTATTTAATTTCTATCTTCTATTTTTACCTTTCCATAAAGCTTTTTTTTATGTATGTATGTATTTTAAAGTATAAAGTACAGATACATTACATTTATTAAACAGACATTTTGCCATTTAAGGTACCTCGACTGCAAGTAATAGAAAACCCAGAGTCAAATTGCTCTAACTATAAAATTTATTGTCTTGTAACTTGGAGTCAAAAATAGGATTACAGAAAGGTATGTTCAGCAGCTAAGTGAAATGATCAAAGGGCTCAGAATATTCCCATTCCTTCTTCTACAGTCTTCATTATGATAGTTTTGCCCTCAAGCTGGTTTCAGAGATTCCATGGGTCATGTACAGACATAGCATCATCTTAAAGAAGAAAAGGAAACATAATTTCCTGTTTCTCTTTCTTAAAAGTGAAAGAAAATTTTTTCAGAAGTCCCCCAGCAGACATATCATCATGTTTAATTGGCAGGGATTAGCTCGTATGCCAAATGCTAAACTAGTTACTTGCAGGGGGAATGGTATTCCCATGATTAGTTTAGAGTAACCTTTCAGAGTGGGATGAATATTGGGAAGTTGGGGCCATGACCATCTACAGGTAAAAATGTGTCATTAGGACAACAGTCTTCCCCCTTTGCCTAGCTTGGCTCTGATCTCTGTGTTGCTTTCATTCTCACTCTCCAGATGGCAGTAAGGGGAAAAGAGCAGCTTGGTTTTCATACCTTCTCAGATTTATGTGTGTCCAGTGGAAAAGGTCTTCTTCCTCCTACCCAGGAGTTTGTACAAAATACCACAGACCTCACTGGGTTTGACTAGGTAGAGTTGGGTGCCTCATCCTAAAAGCATCACTCTAACAGTATGTCAATGCTCTGAAAAGTCAAACCTGGGTTGTTCCCAAGAGGAAAATGGGGCACTAACCAGAACTGTGATGGGATGCTAGGCTTCAATACCAAATAATGTTACAATTCAATACATTTTGCTGCTCAGCATCTATATGAACCTTTCTTGCCATATATACAAATTCAAAAATGTCTCCACAGAAGTGTTCTTTCATCGACTGCTGGTGGAATGTGAATTGTTACCATCTATTTGGAAAATATCTATTTTAACTTTTAAGGCCATAAATCAGTTTGGCGATTTTTGACATTTAATTAGAAAGAAAAATGTACAACCTTTTGTTGTCTTTGTTTTTCAACATATTTGTAAGGTTCATTCATTGTTGTATGTAGTTGTAATTTGCTCATGCTTACTCCTATACGATATTCCATTGTATGAATGTACCACAATACATCCATTCTACTGTTGGTGGAAATTTGGGTGATTTCTAGTTTGGAACTATTAAAAACAGTTGAAAATGTATATTTCATAATGAAGCATAGACTTTTGGATTGTAGTGATAGGAAACTGTAATTCAAAACAACTTTTCCAATAAAGAAACAATAAAAGCTGAATGAAATAGTAAATACATATACATAAAATATAAAAATGTATATAAAAAATAAACAGTAGAAAATAAATCTGCTCAAAGGCATGTGAAAATTAAGTGGATAGGAAATAATTATCCAGCTAAGATATGAGGGGGAACAGGTCCAACAGACAGTGAATTCGGTGGATGTACTTCCCTTGTGGAAATTTACCCATTCAAGAGGGCACTTCTGAAAGATTTAGAAGCTCCAAAGAGCTTATGACTTCTTGTTAAAGCTAAGGATTGTAGTCCAGAATCCTGGTAAACCTCCTGTACTTTTGGTTGGGACACCAAGAGTGATATCCCAGGAACAACGTTTAACCAGAACTGAAGACAACTTCACATGAACTAAAAGCATATCTGCAACTTGTTTTCCATAAAAAATTGCATGAACTTTCATTTGTATCAGTACTAGATGACATTAATATTTTCCCAATGACATTAATATTTGTAATGATCTTTCATATTTTGTTGAATCAAAATTTTTATTAATCTTATTTGCCCCTTTAGAAATTATTTTTGTGTTTTAAGTTTAGTTAACATCCAACACATCACCCAATTCAGTAACTATTCACCTTATTCAGTAACTATCAAATATTCATATTCTTTACTGGGGTTTTGGCTTGTTCATTTGCTTTTCTTCTGTTTCATTTTGCTGTATTTTACATTTTAATAACTCAAATGTTGATATGGGTACAAATTTCATGTAAAATTTTCACCCAAATATTTAAAAAATCATTCCAACATTCCTTAAAGAATACCCAATCTTTCTCCAATGAATTATAAAATATTCATTTTGCCCAAATATTTCTAATAAAGTTATTTTTTCTAAAGCTCTCCTTTCTGATAAATAGATCACATTACACGTTATTGTAGAAACATTTTTGTAAATTTTCAGTAATGGGAGAAATATTAAATTGTGGTCACTGTAAAATTGAGTTTCATGGCCCAATGGCCAGATATGCAATAGAAACACAATAAAAATTTATTGAATTAATAAGATAAACAATGGTTTCAAAAATATCCAATGTCCTGAGAAAATATATATTCTGTATGGAAAAACACAGAGCACGGAAGTGCATATATAAAATTATCCTAGTTTTGTAACAGCCTAGAAAAATTGCAAAATAAATAATGAGTATTAATATTTTGTGAGTCCAAGGGAATGGTAGCCGGAATTACAGTTGATTATCTCCTTCACATTAATTTTCTGAAATGTACATACTGCTAATATTGTGCAAGCAATTCATTTTCAGTAGAGTAAGAGAAAAATAAAAAACAGAAAAAGGGGGAAATTCCTTAAGAAAATAAAGCCCAAGAATGACCAGTAAGGAAAGCATATAAAGATTTGTTCAAGATGGCAAACTGAGCACTAGCACATTTCTTTCTTCCTACCACAAATCCTTGTAAATAACAGGAAAGGCAGATTTGTGTATTAAGAACTACATAAGGGAAAGAAATAGGATAATTCCTGGAATATAGAAAGCACACGGGGAGGGGGCACTGAGAAGGCAGAAAAGAAAGAGCACAGGAGCCAAAGGCACAGAAATGGGGAGAGGGGCAGAGACAATGAAGGGTGGGGGATGAGCTCAGCAGATCAAGACTTTGGAAAGGGGCGGGACGGTAGATAAGGAGCAACTTCCTGGCCAATGGCAGTGCTGGGCTTAGTAATTAGGGGGAGGCGGGCAGTGTATGGCGGGAAGAGGAGGCTTCTCTGGGCCGGAAGCTGCGCTAGGGAGGGAGGAGACTAAAGAGCGGCAGCGGCTGGTAGGAACCCGATGTGGCAGAGGGGCCGCCGCCGCCGCCGCCGCCAACAGGGAGGCGGAGGTCCCGCGAGCCCAGAGCTAGGGACACTGCCGCCATCCTCTTCGCCTGCGGATCCTCTCCTCCCAGCTCTTGCAAGCACCAGGCTCGTCGCCTTCCGATCCTATTTCGATAAAGGCTCACAGCTGAGGCAGCCGCGAGGTGTCCGATTTGAGCACGTGAGGCCCTCGATCCAGGGCGGTGGACGCCAGGCAGGGCAAGGCCATTGGTGGGCGCCAGGATGGAGAAGGGGGATGGGAGAGACTCCTGCAGGAGGCCGGGGTGGAGGAGGGCACCGGGTGAGCCTGGGGAGGAGTGCGGCGGGCAATAGGAAAAGGGGCTGGCGTTTGGAGCCAGGCAAGAAATTGAAGGTGAGCACGGGGAAGCGAGAGCGCAACGTGCCGGGGAAGCACTTTTGGGCAGATGGGGTGTGTGGGCAGCACGCTGAGGCATTCGGGGCAGGAGGACAGTGAGTGCGTGTGGGTCAAGGCCGTGGAGGGACAGGCGCTTTGCTGTAGACTGGAAGTGGGCGCCAGTGGCGGGTGGTGGAGGCAGTGGACTCTTCACAAGGAGGTAGCCCGCCCCCTCCTGCAGAGTTCTTAAAACCCCAGCTAGCACCACTGCCGCTGCCTGCCCTTCCCCGCAGCCTAAAAGAACGCTAGAGAGAGCACTTGCAGGCACGCAGCCAGGATTTCCAGCATTGCTGCCAGGCTCATGGGGAAAATTAGGCGCCTGCGCAGGGTACATAGAGAAGTCGCTATCAGGAGAATTTCACCTTATGACATACTACTGAATGCTTCTCTTACCTTCTCTCCTCCCCCTGCAGGCATGAAGACCCCGAACGCACAGGAGGCAGAAGGGCAACAAACCAGGGCAGCTGTGGGACGGGCCACCGGGTCTGCAAACATGACGAAGAAAAAAGTCTCCCAAAAGAAGCAGAGAGGCCGACCTTCATCCCAGCCCCGCAGGAACATCGTGGGCTGCAGAATTTCACACGGATGGAAGGAGGGCGATGAGCCCATCACCCAGTGGAAAGGAACTGTGCTGGATCAGGTGCCTATAAATCCCTCTCTTTATCTGGTGAAATACGATGGAATTGACTGTGTCTATGGACTAGAGCTTCACAGAGATGAAAGAGTATTGTCTCTTAAAATTCTTTCCGACAGGGTGGCATCATCTCAAGTCAGTGATGCAAACCTTGCAAGTACCATAATTGGTAAAGCTGTGGAACATATGTTTGAGGGTGAGCATGGCTCTAAGGATGAATGGAGGGGAATGGTTTTAGCCCAAGCACCGATCATGAAAGCCTGGTTTTATATTACGTATGAGAAAGATCCTGTCTTGTACATGTACCAGCTTCTAGATGATTATAAAGAAGGAGACCTCCGTATCATGCCAGAGTCCAGTGAGTCTCCTCCAGCAGAGAGGGAGCCGGGAGGAGTTGTAGATGGCCTGATAGGTAAACATGTGGAATATACCAAAGAAGATGGCTCCAAACGGATCGGCATGGTCATTCACCAAGTAGAAGCCAAACCCTCTGTGTATTTCATCAAGTTTGATGATGATTTCCATATCTATGTCTATGATTTGGTGAAAAAGTCCTAACTGTTAGGGTAAACAATTGCCACATTTGTGAAAACAAATGTATACTTTGTAGACATGCAAAATAATGTTGCTTTTCAGTGTATTGAAAGCTTAGGGTCTCTGTTAATTCAACATCTTTGCCAGCATAACTGTTGTTTTGTTCTGAAAAATACAAATTTATGTGGACATGACATGCTGTGTGTATGGACTTTGTCATGTTGAAAAGATTGGGTGTGTTTGGTGGATGGGGCATGAAAGGAAGGAACAGCTGTAAATTCAGGCTGTGAGTAAAGTTCAGCTAGTATCATAATCAGTCATCTAAAAATGGAATAGGACTTAGCTCGTCTGGTCTAGGGAGGGGGACAGAAAGAACTAGACATGGGCTGTGGGGGAAGGAAAAAGGGGAGATGACTGCTTAGGAAGAGGTGGGGAGGTGCCAGAAGTGGAGAGGCTCCCTGAGGGGAGGAGTGGCTAAGAGGGGGAGGCACCCAACTAGAAGAGGGTGAGGGATAACAGAGGAGAGTGAGGTCCTGGGACTTAGAGGAAAACAGACAGAATAAATTGAGTAGAGAAATGCAAAGAAGCTTAGAAGAGGTCCAGAGCAAGGGGCAGAAAGGCAAAGTTGGCAGGATCTGGGGAGAGGCCAAAGGATGCTCAATGGGAGGGGCCAGAAGGAGAGGGCCACTGAGGAAGGGGCACTTCTAAGAAGAAAGACCGGCAGAGGGAGCAAGCATGCAGAAAAAGAGATGTAAGGAGTGGGGACCGTGAGGCATGGAAAGGCCCAGAAAAAAGTTGGACTTCTGGCAGTATCCACAGTGCCCTCCCTGGCTCTGTGCACAAATAATGTGGCAACTGTCAAATAAGCCAGATGGATTGGAGGGTCCCTGGAAAGGCATTTTGACAGGGATGACTTAAGACTTAAGCAGGAGACAAGTTTATAACCTTAAAAGGCTTTTCCTATTTCAGGGAGTTATGCCACACCTGCTGAACAGAACCCCAGCCCTCAGCCTAAACACTCTAACATAGCACCCAATAAGCACGGTGGCCTCCTCACATTTCCCAGAAGTTACAGGTGCAGTAAATCCTGGACCTGAACATCTTGGTTCATTTCCCCTACACTGGATAAGCAGTTCTTGTGGGGAATTGTGGGGGTCAGTGGGGCACTCACAACTTAAGAGATGTGCCACCTTGCATTTGAGAAGTATTTTATCCAGAAAAATAGAATTTGGTTTGTACCCAGGTACAGCATTCCTCTCACTGGTTCTTCCTCCTACTGAGCTGAACTTTATCTCCCTACAGAGGAGAGGCATCAGAGGATTGAACCTAATGCTTCTCTCTGGGGCATGGGGAGTACTTGACAATCCATGCTTCTCTCAGCAGCTGCCTGAAACCATAGGTGGCTCCACCACATAGAGATCTGCTGCCCCCAGAAACCTCATTCTAGCTATACCCCAACAAAGCCGGTGGCTACCGACTCCTCACAGGTACCACTGGTCACTCTTGCCCACCTCAAGCCCATAGGCAGCTGGAATGAAAGTTTGTGGAGCTCTGTTTCCAGGTGAGATAGATGGCACCGTGCAGTGGGGCTGGGAGTTGTGACTTTGTACAACTGCTTCTTCAGAATAGCGTCACGTCATTGGGTGATGGTTGGTGGTGAGAGGGTGTGGTTACCCCAAAAAAGTCCCTCAGAGATAGGGTGCCCCAACACATGGGTCTCTTCCTCTCCTCCTTGCCTTTTCCCAGGCCTGCTGTGGAAGTTCCCTTCAAAACCCTCTCTCTGGTTTCCCCACGCCACATTTCAGTAAAATATACCCCCATCCCTCAAAGAGAGAGCTCTGGTGATGCACCCCCAACCCCCACTGTCTAGACTTCCCTAAACTCCATGTACAGCAGGGGTGAGGAGGAAGTAAGGAGCTTCCAGGAGTTGTAAGAAGGTGGTAATTCCGGTTTACTCTCCACCCAACATGAACTGAAGCTGTTTGCCTCAAGAATTACGCAAGGCAAACCCACCCCACCATAGCAGGGATTAGTTTTCTTTCATACATCACACAATTTAGTCTAGCAAACATCTGCAGGCCATCCATGAGCCAATTGCAACCAACTATTCATATTTTGTTTGATCTTTGTATTTTTATTGCTTTCTAATTTTCAATTAGCTACTTAGACATTTGGGAGATTTCACATTACAAAAGTCTATGTTTCTGGCTCATCTGAAAATAAAAACAACAACAAACAAAAAACCCTAAAACAATAAATTGAGGATTAGGGCCCACATTCCAATAAGGATACAAGCAGTTGGGTCTGAGGAAGGGCTCAGCCCGTTTTAGACTCAGAATGCTCTCTCAGGTTGGCCATGCCCCCAAGCTGGCCTGCTTCACTCAACAAAATGCCCAGTTGTCCGCTGGAGGCATCTGAATTAGCTTTGGAGATAGACCCAGGGGAAACTGCCTAGCCTACACTTACTTGCTTACTTGCTCCCATTTGCTTTTTAATTTATTAGCTTTATCTTCCTCCCATGAATACTTACTTCAGATGTGCTCTCTTCTCGCCAGTCTTCTAGGCATAGGTACTTATGATATGGTAATGAACAAAGGACACAAATAAAATAACCTTACCTTTACGGGCTTTCATTTTCATGTGGGAGACACACAATAGTCAAGGTACAATAAGTCAAATATAACTTAACCTGAAGGTAATGAGAAATTGGCCCTGTTGGTTTCTGGGGAAGGAGCATTCCAAGGATAACATTTGCTAAGGCCCCAAGGTCACAGTAATTTTAGCATCATCAGAGAATACTTAGAATTACCTGCAAGGCTTCAACTGAATGAGCAAAGTATAGAATATCTGGAAGTCACAGTGGTGATGGCTCTCTGGGAAACTTGGTAGCTTAGAGGTTTTGAGGTACTAGAATGGAATTTGTTTTTACATTGAGTGTGGTTCAGAGCTATTCAAGAATTTTCAGCATAGGCACATTATTTGTGTCATATTTTAGCAAGATTACTCTGACAACTGTAGTATAGTCTATATTTATAGAGTGCAAGGATGAAAATGGAGTCCTATCAGTGAAACAGAGGGAACACCTAGAAATAGATTTGCACATAGGAACTTGAATCATATTAGAGGTGACATTTCAGATGAATGGTGAAAATACATTTATTCAATAAATGTTGGAGTCATCTGTTTTCCATATGCCAAAAATTAAACTGAAATTTGTTCATGGCATCTTATATACAAATCCAAATGGAGGAACATCTTGGTTCATTTCCCCTACACTGGATAAGCAGTTCTTGTGGGGAATTGTGGTGGTCAGTGGGGCACTCACAACTTAAGAGATGTGCCACCTTGCATTTGAGAAGTATTTTATCCAGAAAAATAGAATTTGGTTTGTAGTTAAATTTGGACAGTATCATTCAAAAACAGAGTAAATGTTTCTATTTTTCCATGGAAATGGGGAAAATTTCATTTAAAGCTGAAAATGCTCAAATATTGATGGAGATTTTAATAAGTTGTTTGTTTTAAAATACTAATTTTTCTATTTTCAAAAATTATCTTGTTCAAAGTGAGATAAAATAATATTAGTTAAAGAGAAACACCTTGAGAGTAAAAGGATGGAAATCACAAGCACCATGTCCAGAATGAGAATCCTTAGATCTTTGCTAGTTGTTTTCAGTGATAGAGGCTGGGCAAATAATGCCTGTAAATGAAGAATTTAAACAATTGGATTATCTTATGACAACACCCATCATTCACATGATCATACAAAACTTGGATACATTCAGAGATAGTAAATAATTCAGTTACTTTTTGGTTGGTTGGTTTTTGTAGCAGTTACTGTCTGCTTAAAAGAGTTCTAGCACTCTAGTGGAGATTTTCTAAAACAGACTCCTGCGTACACCATAAATGAGTCATTGAACAGTATTAAGGCTCTTACTCCCCAAGATTTTACTAATGAAGTTAACTACTTAAGAATCAAAAACTGAACACAGGAAATGCAGATAAATTCTTATTGATTAATCGCACCCCATTGGAAAACTCCCTTTTCCCTTATGTTGAAAAAATGTGAGAAAATAAGAGATATTATCTTGCTAATGAGGAAGACGACACACTAGTTTATGGTGAATTTCTCCAGTAACTGTGCTGTGTGAGCCAAGTCAGCCAGAGGGCGCAAAACCTAGTTTTACTGAAAAATAAGGTGGCTGTGGCTGCTGAGTCAAGATGTTTTCTAAGGCTAAAATAAATGTTAGAATGAGGATTTTGCAACCTGATAGAGATCAGTGAGTCAGCTGAAAACATGGAAAGTTTGATTACATGAGACCCAGCTGCCATTAATGGTACAGAGCGACTCTCTCCCTTCATGTCTCTTGAACAGTTCCACTCCTTTAATTCAACCACAGCTGCTATAAGCAGAAAAATGATTAGAAATGAGACTGAGACCTCTTTGTTCACAGTGGAGATCAAATGCCATATGCATCTATATGAGTAAGAGAATTTTGGTGATAATAGAGCCCCTAACGTTGTTAGATATGGATATTTAAGTCATTATTCTACAGCAGCCATCGAAGGGCATAGCATCTAGATTTAAGTAATGGATTTTTAGGGTAGGGAAAACGCAAATATGACCTTGTGAGTGAAACTTTTTAACCCAATTCTGTGCAATCCTGGTGTTACCTCCACCAGTATATATTGTGATACCAATAATATATATTAGGAATGGATGTTTGTAGTTCCCTCTCCCATAAATGCTAGATGAACTTCAGCCACATGTAGAGAAGTATAAGTAGGAAACATAAATTACAGACTTGCTTGTCTGTCTCATCCTGGGTAGTTCAGCATAAAGAGTATAGAACCCCAGAAGGAGAAAAGGAAATAACCCTAATTAAGTACTTACAGGAAGTATAGACAGTGAGAGATGCAATATCTCTATAGAACAGCCATGTATGCCCAGTGTAAAAGTCTAAGTAAAGCTGAAAGCTTATAGTAGATTATTGTCAAATAAATTTAATTGTTCTCCTATAAAGCTGGTATGGTACTATCGCCCATCCACTAGGAAAAGTGGTTGAAAACCTCCAAAAAAATTCAGGATCCTGCTTTCTAAGTAATGTTATTTTGGGACTGTGTAGGCAGATTCGCCATACTGACTCCTTAGGCAAAGAAAAATTGTTGTCTCTTAGGCTCCCCACCACTAAGAAGG